TAAAGCAACAAACATGCGAAATAGTAGAGCAGAAAGAACAGACGAACAAATCCAACAAGATAACGAAAATACGCGTGTGAGCATGTCGCAGTTGTGTGCATCTCAATCACAAGAGGCACGAGCTGAACGAAATCAACAACGACAATTGGAACGGAGACAATCGCGCCGGTTCGTAGTTAACACACGCAGAGCAAATGACCGACAACGCCAACAAGTACATCGAGCATTTACATCCGCTTCGTTCCTTCGTCTCGCATTCGAGTACCAGCCAGATATTGAATATTCCGCTCATCCGAAAGTGCTGATTGGTCCTATGGGCAAAGAATGTCCCTATTGTCATGCGCTCAAATTCAAACGTGAGTCAGCCGGGATGTGTTGCGCTTCAGGAAAAGTGCAACTACCAGAAATTGAGACACCACCAGAACCATTGAACGGCTTGCTCATCGGCATGGATCCAGATTCAAACCTGTTCCTGAAGTTCATTCGCACATTCAATTCATGCTTCCAAATGACTTCGTTCGGAGCAACAGAAATAGTTCACAATACTGCAGCAAGTGGTCAACAATACAATTCAACATTCAAAATCAAAGGCCAAGTGTACCACAAAGTAGGCTCATTGCTGCCAATGCCAAACGAACCACATAAATTTTTACAAATCTACTTCATGGGCATACATTTGGGCACACCATGTTTTTCCCACGGACAATTATACGTGGCATGTTTTCGCGTGCGCAAACTATCGAGCTTATTTGTGTTGGCTAAAGACGGACTGACAAAAAGTATCGTACACTCAATTGCTCTTCGAAATTAATATTGATTTTCTTTATTTCATTTTCCTACTTTAGGATAAAAAATATATTACTTTTTTTCACTTTACATTTAACTTTTAAGAGGTCAAACAACGAATATGTCCGTTACGTTAATAAAATATATTGAATTGAGAAAATGAATGGTTGGTGTTTTTTTTGTTTTCATCGGCGGTCATCGTCTACAGCGCTCAATTCCTCTTTTTGTCATAGATCCCATCCCCACACACTTACAATAGATTCGTTATTTTTTATTTAACAACCAAAATATTCACTAGAAATAATTTATATGGCAGAACAACGTTCGCCTGGTCGGCTAGACATTTTATAAATATTTCATCGAGATTCCCATAAGACTGTTTCGCCTAATAATAATAAAATAACCAAAGCAGAACCTCCTCCACGAGGCGCCCAAGACGTGTTGCTCCTCACTTCCCTTTTTTAACTCATCGCCACTTTTTGTTCCTATCAGTAGTATTCTCAAAAATCGCGATAGTAAATTGCTTTAAATAGAATTTAAATTATAAATCGTATAAATTAATTTTTTTAATTCTTACAAGCATTATTCGCAGTATTCATTATTTCACATTAAATATATTATTTGACCTGAAATCGTAATTAACGTAAGGTTACTATTTTTCTTTTTACCCTACATTATTTATCCGACCCTCGATTCAAATTGACCCTCTAACTATTTCGGTGGAAAATTATCCATTGTTAGTATTGATGGTATTGATTGAATCTGGTAAATCACAAGCAATTACCCAGTAATGAAGTTCAGCAATTGGCACAATGTTCGACGATATGTCTCTTTGACAACGTGCCACATACTAATGACGTCCACTCCACGTATCTTGGCTCATTGATAATCACAGAGTTGCACGAACGTTAATGGGTAATGGCTGCAATATGCAATAGTAACATTCTAATTGCTCCAATGTTACTTAATTAATGAAACTTGTTAATTAACGTCGTTCCGTTAACAAATTATCTTCCGTGCACAATGGACTGTTTGGCCAATTTTCAAGCACTTACATATATCTCATAAGCGATTTAGTTATACGTGAAGTGGTTGAACGGCATTATTATGATTAAGACATTATTTTTACGCATTTTGTGAATCGAAAAAACGATTCGCGCATGCGCAGCACGAAAATTCGAAGTTTTGGGCGTCTAAAAATATTACTGGAAACATTACTGTCTCGTCTGCATTTGCAAAAAGATTTTTGTTTGTAAATTTTATGTGTGTGAAATTAGTAGATTTCAATAGATTTGATTTTCGTATGCAATTTTTTTTACTGAAATTTACAATCCCGCTTGCAATCACGTTTACACGAACACCTCCCATGCATTGACGATTGAAGACTTTTCACATGTGGTCAAGATCTAAGAACGCTGAATGATAATGGAATCTGTACACCCACAACGCACATTTTTTGGGCATAACTATACATAGAACATATGGGAGTATTTCATATAATTATCAGAGCACACTACGTACGTGCATATACATAGTATATACTTGTCCTGCGGGTGCAAATTTTACAACAAATATAATTTTTGTTATTAACATTTATACCAGTACCAGTCAAAATGAACAAATAGATGGTAAATCTAATGTTAAAGAGTCTTTATTCTATACATCGTTAACTTAATTCACATAGGTTAAGTTTAAAGTGAGTAAAGGTCGCCCCATGGGATTTGCACTGAGTTCAGAGGGCATACTAAAAAGATCTCACCCCATAGCAACGCGTGTCAAGCAACCCTCTCTGAATCACGCGACGGGAATTCCTATTGTCAATTTTACCCTTAATCGATATACCATTATGAAATATCGAGGACGTAACGTTCCGGCACCAGTTTTATTACGGAAGCGAACTTACTCGTTTCGGTGTATACATATATACACACCTATTATATTGAGTATGGGGATGTACGTACAATTTTACGGTTTCCCTATAGATTTACTGACTCGTTACCAGTGTTCCGTGTTATAGGAAAAGTCACATATAATATCCATCCCTCCCGAGGTAAACGGCCATTTTCTTTGAACGTTTTAATTACGTGATACTGTAATGACGTCCCAACCGTCATATACCACTCGATATTCCGTTCCGACTAATTGGATTCGTTTGCTCAATTAGTCGCAGCTCTACTAGTGCCGCTCCTGACTGTTCGTTGCCGGTCCCCAGATTTCCAGGAACATCCTACACCTATGTTGCATCCGTGCGCATATGGGGTGTACATGTCTCGTTCATTCCAGAATCTGTAATATGGAAATTCAAGAAGACTGGGAACATCGATGCGTATCTATTATTGAAGTAGACTATAAAATTAGTATTAAATAATAATACGTAGTGTTATAGTCATTTAGCTAAGTTAATTTCTATTTTTGATAGATTTAACCTAACCTATTTTACAGATCTTGACATCTGCTGTCTAGTTCTGGAAATTGATGTCTTGTTACTTTAAGGATATTCCACTAATCTTGCATGGAACATATATTCATTGTCAGTGAAGCTAATCATAGATGCTTTAAATGTTCTATGCCTTGTCCTATCCATTAGTCAATATTTGATTTTGATCTTGCAGGTCAATTTAAAATGTAGTCTTAAAATTCCTTGCTTTAGTTTTCATCAAATTATCGTTATGATGATGCTAATATATTAGCATTGAACAAATACATTTGTATTATACAATCAAAATTTGTAGTAGATATGTAACACGCATACAATTTTTTTTCAAAATGTAACTACTTCATTATTCTATAGGTGATACAAAGTTAATCGACAGAGTGGGAAAAACAAATATGAGTTCACTTCTTTTTCAGGGGTTGATATTTCCAAAATGACCATATGATTCTAAGCTTTGGATTAAAGATGCTTTCATTTGATTTTAAATGAATAACAATGGACCTAAAAGTCTGGAGAACATATTGAGAAATATAATTTATTTGATAATTTATGAAAGAATCACATGCAGTAACTGTTTGATTACTTCGAAATTAAATCTATGTTTCATGTAGGATTGATTATTAAATGTCATACGATCCTTATTCATTTACGCAGATTATTTTGTAAATCATAAAATCTACTAGTCCGGATGTTAAGCTTCTCATAGGTACAGAGGTGGATTAGATGGTTACCGAAAATCCCAGTAGTCCCTGTCACGTTTTCATAGCAGTATCCGTCCCTGACTATATCTGCAAGCTGGCTAGAGTTACCAAGGAACAAGGAGTTACCCTTGCCCGATTTCCTACTCGTTAAAGCTGGGCCGTTGCGTGTTACCGCCAGGATCGTATTATATCCGGCACACGTGGCTCACGGTAAGCGTTAAGTTTCCAACGAGAAACATTAGAGAAGTAGATGAGACAACATCAAATATGAAGACGGTGCTTCGGGGAATATCTGTAGAGAACAAAGTTACAGGACACGGTAGCGCCCTTCGTAGGTTCAAGGATCATTCTGTGAGATGTCAGAAGATAGGGCCAAGTAAGAAACTTTAAGAAATGAAACAAAAATAAGCTCACCCAAGTAGAAATTGGATTAAAAAAATTAAAGGTCCCTCGTTAGTCCTAGTTAGTCCTGTACTGGCTCGGTGGGACCTTAAAGAGGCCCTAGACAAGCTAAAGAAAATGTCCATTAGGGACACTTATGCTTATTTATTACGAATAATACGTTGTGCGTGACTTGGTGTATCAATTGAGCATTGTATGAAATTGTCGGATTAATATAAATCCGAAATGAACGTGACCGAAACTCGAGAGGTTATTTCAAAATTGAATCAGAGCGTAACTGACTCGCGTAGTAAGTCAGTCGCCGGTGCGCATGCGCTGTTATTATTAATGGCGCTCATAGCGGACGACGTGCATTTGATCGACGCACATGGCCGTAACGAATTGACGAGTTTTCACGGGTTGCACGTAGCGACGGGAAACGAGTATTCACCGGATTCGGATGCTGCTGTTACATGGACCGCGTTAGAGGCGATTGTCGAGCCGTGACGCGTTTATGGGATTCTATAAGCTACTGAAGATTTTATCATGCCATAAGTAGTGTGGGTAAATGGTGGATTAACAAAGGAAAGTTTTTAATCGTAGAAGTAAGATTTTCTAATAAATATTTCTTTTTTAGTATTATGGTAAACACTTCGTAAATTTTCCATAGAGTAACTGAATTGAGTTACATATTTTCCAAGATGGCGGTACGACGTCTTGTTATTCGTCGTTCCGTCTAATTAAGTCACTTCAGTGCGAATGAATCATCAACCACAATGTCCCATGGTGTCCCATGATGTCCTATGGCGTGTCTCATGGTGCGTGACTATGCGTGACCACTTAACTCTTGTCGACTAACCAAGCGAGCATGATTATTATACCTGTGTCAGCACCCCATAGGAAGTTATTGTGCAAGCGGACTACGGAACAGACATAACAGGTTAGCTTTTCCTTTTCCCATTTGGTATTCTTTTACTCTTTATAGTCTGTACGCTTTGTGACTGCCGATTATGACTCGTTCTGTGCACACATCGATTTACCATTCTCTCGTTTACCCCGCGCCCTTTTGTTGTGTACTCTTTCTATTTTTGTCTTTCCTCGTCTCTCCCGTGTATATCCACTTCTCGTAGTTAATATCGCGGAACGCCATGAAACATGCAACTTTTTTTGGCATTCACCCATGCGACATAGACCCTCGCATAGATTGGTTTTACGAGGAGTTTAGTATAATTTATAATCCGTCAGTGTTATTGTTGCGTTATTCTTCTGGATTTTCATTATTACAATCATCACACGAAATATTCGGATATTATCATTAAGTACAAATATACATAATTATACGAAATATGAAAGTGACAGAAAATAATTTTCTGAAAATAATAATTGTGCATTATGCTATATATTAGATTATTATTATTATTGTGATAGAGTATTTGGTAAACCTGCAATATACGATTCCTTCTCCTTCTCAGGAAGGAGTCGTATTCTGCAGTTTAGCCGATTATTTCACTTTGCTTGCTGTAACGGAATTTCATTTTGATACCTATCATCGGTTACATCTTTACAAATTAGGGAGAATTAATATGCTAGAAATCTGACAGGAACATGGCACACTTGTTGTTTCGCGGTCAGGAACATGTCCGTATGATAAATGCCGTTACGTGGTCTACGGCAGATGTAGCATGTTCGTCGAATAAATGTACCGTGAAATCCTAATTACAGATAAACCGTCCCATATGGCCGTCAGTACAGAGTCCTGTATAGCCATAGCCCTAGCTATGGCGTACTGTATTCCTGTTCGTACGCCATGCCCTAGCTGCTTCTGTCATTCTCGTGCTTCGCAACACCATAAATCATGGGGTTTGACGTCACGCGAATTTCGCGAGGGAGTTGCTGCGTATCGCGGTGGGTATTACCAGTGACGCCAAAAGCTCTCATGACACACCCGTAACTGATGTACAAATCTGTGAGTATATATGGTGTTTAATGCTTTTTTTTTATCATGGGGATATCTTTAACTGGCATTCCTGGTGTTTTGTATATACATATATAGTGCCTTGTGGGAAATGGCGAGCGCACGATCATCACGAATATTTCGACGTTATCTGTACCTATTTTATACCTGGAATCGGATCCACTTTATTCTTCATTTCTATACCATTGTCTATGGTGGTACTGGGGATATTGATCGTAACTATACTTACAGGAGAGAATAATCGAGTGATCGTTAAAGTGTAAAATTAAACACTTGCGCTGGAAAGACGTGCCATGCACGTCGAGGTGTTTCTGTAGCATTTTGTCACGCGGATCTCAATTCGTTATATTCGAAATAACGATCGGACTGGTCGTATCGTAAATAAGCAAGTACTTTGAAGTTGAATTATTATTCTCTCTCTCTCATATTTGGGGTGTAGAGCTCAACTAGAGAGCACAAGGGTTGAACCGTCCTCGACAAGACGCTTTTGATGTGGTAGCTGGTACCTAGCTTGGACTTTCAACTGGTTCTCGTTATAACAGTATGTGCACAGTTTACGCATCTGCAGGCGCTTTTATCAACGGGTTCACAAGGCTCTTTCTGCTATCTTTATGTAGTATATATATATATATATGTAGTATTCAACTTTGTTGGGTTGGCTTAGGTTACCTGCCAGTTACGAGACACTCGTTTGATGTGGCTAACCTTATTGCCTGGAAAATCGAAGAGCCCGAGAGCTTATGCAATATATATATAGTGTGGCCTTTTTTTTGTTTCAAGGAAAATTAACTAGCGATTCGCGAATGGCTGCTATTAAAACTTCTAAGAATTTCTTAATTGTACATAGGCCTATAGTTATATAACAATAACATCGCATTGCGAACTACTGTAGGAACAATAATATAAATAATAATTTAATGTAAAAATGTGTAATATTTAAATAAAAATATAATATTTTGTATTTGACTTGAAAAATAAAGCATCCACCAGACATTTAATTTTACCATTGTAGGTTCCATTTAAAAAACTTGTCAGACTAATCGGCAAACGGCCTCTGTTTCGCTTAGTTCTTTTTTTTTGTATATTTTCTCCCGTTTCCCGTTTCACTCATGTTCCGCAATAGACAGCGTGTGCACTCGACATGCGAATCTCTCAAAAACGAGTTCGAAATGGCGTCGGGAATTGTCCAGGACTCTGTCCGCGGACAGTGCTTCGTCCGTCCGTGGAACGAAGGCAATTAAGGTCTGGCGTGTTCGTCCTCACACAATATAGTATATCTATATGGATTCCTTTTTTTGTTAATTTTTCAAGGCACCCATTAAAGTTGCCAGTCTATAAAGTTATAATTGAGGTGGCACTGCGTCATACTCGTTCATGTTGGTTGTCCATTTTCTATAATTTTCTGTATTTCTCACATAATCGAAAACGTGCCATTTCACGTGTCATTGAACACCGAAAATATTTTTTTATTAAAGAAATTTTGTTCAATTAGACTCAACGATCGAACCTCCATTTCAATTATTCGTATCTAGACAGAGGATGTGAATTGCCGTTTTATGGTACCTGTAGAATCATTACAAATGTCCCATATATGTATACCCTTTCGTACATCCGTACAGTAATTCCACGTGTATTTTCAGGAACGTAACTTTACAAGGCCTAATTTATAACGCAACACCAAAACCAGAGTTGGCTAGATTTCTACAGCACTTACATTATTGTAAACAGATTGAATCCATTGAACGAGTCGCACATGTAATTGAATAACGACTGAATATGAATGCATGGAGTATATAGATGTCGTATAAACAAGCATTAGGTGTATTTACGGTTTGTTTTGCGGTACAACCAATTACATTTAGTTTGCATGGCTCTTGGCAAATTATGGATATCGACTGTAGATTCAAACTACGCTTTACGGCTTATACACGTGTTTTTTACGTTGAGCTTGCATTATCAAAATTTAAGCTTTTTACAAATGGGTCAAGTAATATTTCACTGTCCTTACGAAAATGGCTACTCGGCAAATTGTGTGAATGACGTCATCGCTCACTTCGAATATTACATTCCGTACGATTTGATACGCTAGCGCTATCATCCCATCCGCACAGCGCGGCACAAAGCCGCAAAAGAATTTACATTGTGACGTCGCCTGGGGCGACCTGAAACTGTTAGATCAGCTGTTCAGTTTGGTCAAGTCGATAGACTAGGTATGTATGCGCGATCGCTCGATGAGTTTAAATACGTTATGGTAAAAGAGTACTATGCTGTGCTGTACATACACATATAGATATTATATAATTAGATCTGCACTCTCGAATCAATGCCCTGAACGGTATGGTATTTATAGTCATCGACTCATCATTTTTATTGCCGATTTAAAAAATCAATATCGTGATACGTACCTTGGTATCTTATAAGAGGTAACTTTCAGTGAAATAAATTTTTTTAGTATTTTATGCAAAATTATTTGAAATTCGTAAATTATAAATAAATGTTAAATTTAAGTGTAGCTTGAAATTTTATCTTGTGCTTGTGCCGATTGCATGATTCTCTTTCGTTTTTAAGGAGATAGTTAATATTTTTTTTTATTTATTCTTTCACGTCACAAAGTAGCTGGGCCTGCTCCGTTAACCCGGGTGTAGGCGTGGGGTGTCTTGACACCCTAACTCAATACTTTTCAAATGGAGAAGAAAATTACGTGACCGTTCTCGGGTTAATATTCGTAAAGTGACGTAATTTGAAATGTAGGAAAGAGAAGATCAAAGTAAAAAATTACACGTGATCTTTCGAGCCGATGCTTCTTTGATACTGTACATTATTTTTTTAACGAATAAACCCTTTGCGATTTGAAAGGGCCTGTTTATTTAATGAATACCTTTTTTCATGCTCTCCCAATGTACAGAATAAAAGTTCGTGACTCTGACAAGTGTATATGCCTGTATCGTGGTTTGGCTTTCTATAGAAAGTACGTTAAGAAGAAAAGAACCACTCGACTTGGTTTTCCTATCTGCTTTTTACACGGCCCGATAATCCCTACAGCTCTGTACTTTTTCTGCCTGAGATTAATTGTCCATTCTCTGAAAACCGATCCCGGGACCAAGTTCCAAGATAAGTCGTATGATCATCGAGCTTTTAGCGTAGGCTTACCGAATCCTTTTTTCTGTCAAATCCTTTTGTCTCGTGCGAAAGTAGAACCGCTTTGTCGTTATCATTGCGAATTAGTGTAGCGACGTAAAAACGCATCAGGGTTAAACCGGAGCGTCGAGAAGAATAATGGAAAGATAGGAATAACTATATTTTCGTAATTATCAAAAACCTCATAAAAATGTCAATTATTACCCTATGATAAATCTTGAGGCACCTCCGTACACAGATCAGCATTTAGAATATGATGTACGCGTTATCACGTGGAAGAGTTTAGAACTTATCGATCTCGGTCGGTAACGTAGAAACCGCAGGGCCGTCTCACGAAGACAAAAGTGTGGGCAACAGCCATATGCTGGCTGGTTGTTTACTTAATGAATACCTTTTTTTATGCTCCCCCAATGTACAGAATAAAAGTTCGTGACTCTGTCTGTTCGTCTGTTTAATTATTTGATTTCAGAAGAATGAATACGGAGATAATATAAAATGAGTTGCAATAATAAAGGACGTTACTACTGCAGTTGACGGTTTCTAATAGATTGGATTGTGCCCAGGACACAGAAGTGTGCTTTTTGATACGGGTGCAAGTTTGGAAATGTCGGCCCTGAATAAGTAATAAAATTATCGCGGAGCGACATCTAGCGAAGTAAATTTATATTTCTAGATGTACAAAATAACATCAAACAGTGCGAGTGGCATTTTTCACCTTTTCCACTCGTCTTACACATTTCGATCGTGAAACTGTAACACAATGTATTTTCCGCCCGTCTGCCGAGATCTATCTCCCGTTATTGTTTTAAAAATGTGATAAACGTGTAATAGACTAGCGAGTATGCGTGAAGCCCATGACAGACATGAGACAGAAACATTGGACTTATTTTGCCGTTGAATCTTCAAGGTAACATACATGTCCAGGATCCTTAAACGAAGTATGGGTGACAGGCACCGCATATGAGGAAGCAAATTCATCGAAAGTAAGTAGCGAAAAGTACGTTTCCTATCTTGTGACGTCATGTTTCAAGATGGCCGGTACGAGTTCGGACTAGCTTTAATCAAACTAGCTTCCCTCGGCGACTGAACTCTCGGAGAGATTATCTGAACTCTACGTGTAGCTGTATGGTGTCTTTTATACTTAGCACAAGGGGTGTAAATGGGGTCGAGACTCACCTGCATTCTACGGGGAAGATAGTTAGGGGTACGTTTCCATAAGGTTGGTTGAGCGTAACGATAGTCCAAGGTAGGAGTAAAGGTAAATTAAGACTCCGGGACATAGAACGAGGAACGAATCTCTTAGGAGGGCTGGGAATAATTTAATTGTCTCGTTATTTCCCTTATCAGTACTGTCAACCGGGAGGCTTTTAATTCTCTATCTTTACGTCAGTCTTTACGATTCCCTCCACCTTGACTTTGTTCTTAGTCCGGAACATGAATATTTCTATTAGCAGTAATATAGCCAGACGTACTATAAGGTACCTTGCTGCAAACTCCGAGAGCGGATATAGCGGTACGTGCTACGATTTAGTACGAATACACTGTAGTATGTAGTACATGCTCGGCTATGGTATATATGTGAATATATATACATAGGTGCATGGGTGAATATGGAGAATATATACGTAAGAGCATAAATATCAGGATAGGAGGTCTTGCATAGCATTACCCATAGGTACACTGGCTTGCAAATCCACTGTGAATTTATTTTGTCAAGATAGCGCCAATAAAGTTCATGTATTATTTACTATTTGTGGTGGTCAGACAGTGCCTGATGTCATCGATAGAAGGTAACAGTGTGACTGGTGGATCCCGTGAATATTTTTCTGTTCTTGTTTTATTTTTCAAACTTTTCGTTGATATATGTATACACGAGCACGGGAAGTCTGGTTAATTTGCTTTCGTGTAACACGGAATAAAATGATTTAGTGGCCCATTACGCGGATAGGGGAATATTCGTTGGGTTGTCTCTCTCTCTCTCTCTCTCTCTCTCTCTCTCTCTCTCTCTCTCTCTCTCCCCCCCCTCTCCCCCTTTTTAAACCTTATCTCAGGTTTTTCCGTGGGTTTCATGGTAAATTCGATCGTAAACTTTCTCATCGTAATTAGCAGTAATGCCGTGGTTTGTCGAATCACCGTGAAAAGTTAATGGAGTCGATTTAACGGACTCAATGTAATGCGCGGGAATGCTCGGTAACGATGCGTTCCTTATACAGTAGTAAAGGCCGGATTAATTTTGTAGGTAGTCGATAAATGTTGGAATAATGGTGTTAAGCCTCGAGCGTCAGCCCTCTCATCTCTCCGGGGCGAAGACTCGTCAGAGTTCCGATAACCCGCAGAATCTGCTTTGTCGAACAGAAAAAGAGATGAGCAGTATTCGTGTAAAAATATCTCATCTCTTCTTGCTTTGACTTTATTTCGAAAATTGGCTTCGTGAAAATAAC